ACCGTCTTTGCGGGCATGCGCAGCAACAACCGGATCGACTTGCGAACACATTCGGGTAATAGTTTCGGGCAGGTGACCGGCTCCGTTACTGCGGGAGGTGCGTCCAGTTATTTTTCGCATATGGAGGCAGTGGGAAATTATCTCTACCTCGGCGGTTCCACCTTACAGGCCATTAATGTAACCAACCCTTCGGCTCCATCAAGGGGGCTGGAACAACCTGTTCGTTTCGTTAAAGAGTTATCGCACTGGAGTAACCTGTTGTATGTGATTCATGACGACGGCATAGATGATAAGGTCTTTATACACTCACTGGCCAACGCGATGCAACCTGCCCTGGTTGATTCGTTTTCCCTGCCACATAGTGGCGTCTTTAAAATAGGGCAGAGCAGTGGCTACTGTATACAACATGATACGCTGGCAGGAACAAGGATCTTTACGTACACGCTGGCCAATACCGCCCCCTATTTTACCGCAACTGACACCTTACGCCTCGTGCCCGGTGCCCGGTTGGACTTTCCGATGCTGGACATTGTGGGAGATCATCTTTTTGCCAAGACAATGGATTCTGTTTATCATTTTCACCTAATGCCCAATGGTAGCCTGCACCGGCTTTCAGTTATCCGCTCGTCTGTATGGCCCCAGCATTTTGTGGCTAAAGACACCGCTGTATTATTCTATGCAACTGCTCACCAGGTCATTGCCGGGGCGGTTCGTAATGGGGCTACTACTACGATAGACACAATAAGTGCCATGAGCTTTAATTCGTTCCGCAACATCGGGAGGCTGGGCAGCAATATCTATTACTTCGATTATATGGGTGGTAAGCTTATCGGGCCTTCAGCTACAGGTATCCCTGGCATTAGTTACCGCAACGATGACCGGTTCAGCTGCTACCCTAATCCTGCAACAACATCCTGGACAGCAGATAGTAAAGCAGACGGCCTGTTGCAGCTTTATACATCAGATGGGCGGCTGATGCGTGTTTTACAACTCAAAGCAGATAGTAAGGCACATATTTCGCTGGCGGAACTTTCTGCTGGTAGCTACTATTACCGCATAACGGCAAAAGATGGTTTGCGTTCGGGCGGCCTGTTAGTGAAACAGTAAGGCTGTTCTCACCACATCTATAACGGGGGATTTTCACAGCGTGGAATTTCTTTAATCTCTACAACGCGGGATTTCTTTAATCCCGCGTAACCTGTGTTGGAATTTGCAATTCCATATCGTTTAGCTAAGCACAACGTTAAGCGAAGTCCCCTGACGGCTTTTGAAGTAAAAGCGGCGCTAACGAAACGACATTAAATTTTCAAATACACAAAAGATCCCGGCTACCAAGGCAGCCGGGATCTTATAAAGCCTGCCGGTTTTTTCAGGCAGGTGCAAAGCAATTAGTGGGTAATAACAATTTTCTGGCTGCTGCTGCCAGCTGCACCACCATTGATATGTACAAAGTAGGTACCGGGTGCCACCTGAGCGCTGTTCCAGGTCCAGCTATGAGTGCCGGCTGTAAGATTGCCACCATCGATGCTGCCTACAACCTGTCCGTTAATGTTCAGGATATTGATATGTACCGGGGCATTTTGTTGCAGGTTTGTGCTGATATGAACGGTATTGCCGGCGGGGTTTGGAAATACCTTAAACTCGATCGTCTGTCCATTTGAAGGGCTACCGATATGCTGAGATTGTGCCAGGCCCAGGAAGTTATCCATGATATGGGTCAGGTAAGTATTGTCAAACAACCCGATGCCTGTGATCTGCGATGCAAACGTACCGCCAACATTATCATCACCGCCTACCCAAACATCCATTGGTGTGTGGTTACCAGGCGTGCCACCTGCATTGGTGCCATTGCCATTCGTAAGTGGGTTAGATCCGTAAGCAACAACAATACGACGGCCGGCGGTATCAACCTGGGGCCATAATTCAGGACGGTTCTGGAAGGTATAAGTGGTATAGTTAGGGTACCATCCATTGACATTGGTTGCACCGAAATTAATATCACCGCGGGTAACATTGGTTGGGGTTGCAAAAGTGCTGGCTGTAGCGGCGCCGCTGGAAGAAGCATTGACACCCGCTTGTTTTGGCCCGAGTGCATAAGTGCGGATCATGGTGCCATTGTTCTGCGCATTGGCCTGGTCGTGTAGACCAACGATGGCCGTGCCACCGCATTCATGGTCAGAGCTGCTGAAGATCAGGGTTTGAGAATTGGTTTCGCTCAGCAGCTTGCGGCCTTGTGCTACCGAGTAGTCAAATGCAAGTACTTCCTTGATCAGGTAATCCGAGCCATAAACATTAGCGTGACGTGCCGTAGTTGGTGTTACCCCATAGATAGCTTCACCACCACCAACATAAGAACGCTTGTCTGCGTCTACCGTGTACTGGTTGTTAGGCGTACCGGCGATTACGGTGATGCCACCGGAGTTGGCGTGTTCCAGGTGATCGATTCGGCCACCTTCTACCATCAGGAAGAAGCCCTTGGTGCCACCTTTAGCGCGC